CCGCACGGCCCCGCGCCCCCGTGGAGAATGATTTGGTGCGGCCGCGCCTCAGCCACAGAGGACACCACCGGGACACCGGCGGGACACCGCGCGGCCCCGCGCCCCGGTGGAGAATCATTTGGTCCAGCCGCGCCTCAGCCACAGGAGACTGTCCTCTCGCCCGCCCACGCAGCTTCGCCTCGCCCGCACGCACGGCACGCACGAACACGAAACCGAAATCGATTTCCCGGTAGGGGGGCTCTCCGTTCCACTTCGATCTCCCCCCCCCAACCTCCGACCCCCAAATTGCAGCGAAAAAATAAAAGAAAAATGCTGCAATTATCCTGGCGAAGGACCCAAACATATGCAATTGCGAATAACCGTTTAAGGGTGCCGCTTTCGGTGGGGCTCCCTATGGGGCCACGAAAGGCGTGCCACGAAACGCTGTCCAGGGCGTGCGGGACGCATGCGGGCGGTAGCACTGGGGCCTTTGGTGGAGCTCCCTATGGAACCACGAAGCGCTGTCCTGGGCGTACGGGGCGCATGCGGGCGGTAGCACTGGGGCCTTCGGTGGAGCTCCCTAAAGGGGCCACGAAACGCTGTCCTGGGCCCTCGGCGGCGAAACGTGTGAAGGGTGTGCCGAAATGGGTGCGGTGCCGCCATGCGAACGCAGCCACTGGGGCTCTCGGTGGAGCTCCCTATGGGGCCACGAAGCGTGTGAGGGGTGTACCGAAATGGGTGCGGTGCCGCCATGCCAACGCAGCCACTGGGGCCCTCGGTGGAGCTCCCTACGGAGCCACGAAACGTGTGAGGGGTTTGCCGAAATGGGTGCGGTGCCGCCATGCCAACGCCACTGGTGCCCTCGGTGAAGCTCCCTATGGGGCCACGAAACGAGTGATGGGGTGTGCCGAAATGGGTGCGGCGCCGCCATGCCAACGCAGCCACTCGGGCTTTCGGTGGAGCTCCCTATGGGGCCACGAAGCGTGGGAGGGGTGTGCCAAAATGTGTGCGGTGCCGCCATGCCAACGCAGCCACTGGGGCCCTCGGTGGAGCTCCCTACGGGGCCACGAAAAATCTGAGGGGTGTGCCGAAATGGATGCGGTGCCGCCATGCCAACGCCATGCGAACGCAGCCAGTGGGGCCCTCGGTGGAGCTCCCTATGGGGCCACGAAACGTGTGAGGGGTGTGCCGAAATGGTTGCGGCACCCCATGCCAACGCAGCCACTGGGGCCCTCGGTGGAGCTCCAGCTCCCTACGGGGCCACGAAACGTGTGAGGGGTGTGCCGGAATCGGTGCGGTGCCGCCATGCCAACGCAGCCACTGGGGCCCCCGGTGGAGCTCCCTGTGGAGCCACGAAACGTGTGACGGGTGTGCCGAAATGGGTGCGGTGCCGCCATGCCAACGCAGCCACTGGGGCCCTCGGTGGAGCTCCCTATGGGGCCACGAAGCGTGTGAGGGGTGTGCCGAAATGGGTGCGGTGCCGCCATGTCAACGCAGCCACTGGGCCCCTCGGTGGAGCTCCTTATGAGGCCACGAAACGTGTGAGTCGTGTGCCGAGATGGGTGCGGTGCCGCCATGCCAACGCAGCCACTGGGGCCCTCGGTGGAGCTCCCTATGGGGCCACGAAGCGTGTGAGGGGTGTGCTGTGATAGTGGGAGGAGGGAATGGGCAAAGGGAAGAAGGAAGGAAGGAAGGAGTGAACGCGGGGCGCTGTGTCTTGAAAACGAGGACCCAACACCACAGGATGGCTGGGAAAAATAGTCCCCAAACCATTTGTAGATTATTTTTCCCCAAACAGCTTGCTGAACGGGGTGCTGTTGTGGTAGAAACTAACTCCGGCGGAGGGAACGCGGAGCAGAGACATCCTCACACAAAAATTATGGTTTTGGCTGTTTCGCTTGAGACATCCTCACAACTCTCGTTTTCTGAGTTGGCCGGGATTGGCCGTTTCGCCTGAGACATCCTCGAAAAATTGCGCTCCGGGACGCCGCGCGAGAGGTGGTCCGGGCCGTTTCGCTTGAGACATCCTCGAAACTCTGAGCCCCGAGGTGCCGTGCGAGGTGGTCCGGGCCGTTTCGCCTGAGACATCCTCGAAACTCTGAGCTCTGCGATGCCTTGCGCGAGGTGGTCCGGCCCGTTTCGCCTGAGACATCCTCGAAACTCTGACTTCGGAGATGCCGCGCGAGAGGTGGTCCGGCCCGTTTCGCTTGAGACATCCTCGAACTTCTGAGCTCTGAGATGCCCTGCGCGAGGTGGTCTGGCCCGTCTCGCCTGAGACATCCTTGCAACTCTGAGCTCTGAGATGCCGTGCGCAAGGTGGTCCGGCATGTTTCGCACAAGACGTTCTCGCAACTCTGAGCTCTCAGATGCTGCGCGAGAGGTGGGCCAGCCTGGGCGCCCAGCCTCAGGAGGCCCCAGAGAGGTCCAGGAGGCCGCAGGACGCCCAGGACAGGCCCCAGGGCCCCCCAGGAGATTCCCAGGAGGCTCCCAGGAGGCCCCAGGAGGCCCTATATCAGAACGTGTCAAGTTAATACACATCCGGTGTCGATTCGTTGATTTTTCCTGCTCTCCCCCCTCCATCATTTTGAGGGGCCCAAGCGGCCACAGGTTAGATATCCCCCCTGGGAGCCCCAAGAGGCTTTAGGAAACCTCAGGTGGAGTTCACGAGGCCACAGGAGGCCCAGGAGGAAGCTCCAGGAGGTCCCCAGGAGGCCCCAGGAGGCACCAGGAGGCCGCAGGACGCCAAGGACAGGCCCCAGGGGTCTCCAGGAGATTCCCAGGAGGCTCCCAGGAGGCCCCAGGAGGCCGCCTATCAGAACGTGTCAAGTTAATCCACATCCGGTGTCGATTCGTTGATTATTCCTGCTCTTGTGCCCCCCCCCTCCATTTGGAGAGGCCCAAACGGCCACAGGTTAGATATCCCCCCTGGGAGCCCCAAGAAGTTTCAGGAAGCCCCAGGTGGGGTCCAGGAGGCCACAGGAGGCCCAGGAGGAAGCCCCAGGAGGTCACCAGGAGGTCCCAGGAGGCCCCAGGAGGCCCCCGCAACTCGGAGCTCTGAGACGCCGCGCTCGAGGTGGTCCGGCCCGTTTCGCCTGAGACTTCCTCGCAGCACGTTTGCCCGAGAAATCGTCGCAACTCTGGGGTCCGAGATGCCGCGCGCGAGGTGGTCCAGCCCGTTACGCTGGAGACATCCTCGCAACTCTAGGCTCCGAGATGCCGTTCGGGATGAAGAGGAGGTGGAGGAGGAGGAGGAGGAGGAGGAGGAGGAGGAGGAGGAGGAGGAGATGGAAGGGAGGAGGAGGCGGATGATTTGCATGAGGGAGCAGGCAGGAGGATGGGGAGGCCCCAGAAAGCTCCAGGAGGCCGCAGGACGCCCAGGACAGGCCCCAGGGGTCCCCAGGAGATTCCCAGGAGGCTCCCAGGAGGCCCCAAGAGGCCGCCTATCAGAACGTGTCAAGTTAATCCACATCCGGTGTCGATTCGTTGATTATTCCTGCTCTTGTGCCCCCCCCCTCCATTTGGGGAGGCCCAAACGGCCACAGGTTTGGCATCCCCCCTGGGAGCCCCAAGAGGCTTCAGGATGTAAGGGCCTGGCGAGGAGCGCTGGGGTGACAACTGCGCCCTCAAGGAATCCCGCGCGAGGCTCGCGCGAGGACTGCCCGCGCGTGGCGAGGTCACCAGGCGAAGCGACGCAGAGCCCGCGCGCCCCCGAGGGCGTCGCAGAAGACGTAACGAGCCATCGCAGCGCCCATCGAAATTGCAACTGTTGCCGACGCGCCGACAAATCAACTCTGCAGATTTTCGGCTGCACGCGGGCGCGCGCAGAGCGAAATGGCGCGGCCAGCGCGCCCAACCAAGCTGCCTCGCGATGACAGAACGAAGGGGGCGAACGCATCTCCCGTGCGCACCCAACCACGAAACAAAAACAAGCGCTAACCAGGCCCGCGCAGCGGCCAAAGTGCACAGGACACGAACCCAAGGAGCACTGGCAAGCGAGCACAAACACCCCCCGCCCTCGCGCAAGACGGAAGCATCCAGGCATACCAAGAAGTCCATGATCCGCCACGCTCTAAGCGAACGCGCCGTCGCACCACTCCGACAACACGATTGCAGTCGAGTGCCCAACCGACGTCTTTACCCTGACGTCGTACTTCGGGCGGCCCGCCTACCCAACCTCGAATAGACGAGGGATCACGGGCCCAACACGCGATATCCACCGCGCGCGCGTGCCCAGGAGGCTCGCGCGGGATTAGGCGCACGAGAAGCAACTAGCTCTTAACGCCAGCTCCATCTCGGCGCGCGCCCGCATAACTGGGCGCAGCTGCAGCCTTGAGCCAACGCGGCCTGGTTGGGAGGGCTGAGGGCGGGAGGAGGACGGGGCGACCGAGGAGCGACAGAGGCAGGCAAGCGGGGTCGCGAGGGGGGCGGAGGGGAAGCCGAAGGGCGCGTTGGAAGGAGGAGAGGGCGTCAACGGTGAGGAGGCGAAAGGCATTTGAGGCGAAGATGGGGGAAGGAGAGAGACGGGTGTCCCTGATTGGTTCGGCCATCCCTTGAGGGGCGAGGGCGGGCTGACCCACTGAGGAAGTGGAGAAGAGCGGCTCGCTCCGCGGGGCGGGGACAAGGGTGGGCAGGGGCAGGGAAGGAGGGGCAAGCAGGGACAGGGAGGGCTGGGCTGATCCACGGAGGAGGCGAGCGAGGAGTGGGCAGGCACAATGAGGGAAAAGGGGAGGTGGGGATACGACGACCAGCAGTTACCTTAAGTTGATTGCCCTGAATCGTCCAGCCTCGGTGGGCTGGGCGACTCAGGTGCGTTGCGAGCGGTTTCTTCGCGCCCCTTGCTTGCCGCCGCAGGGGAAGGGGATTGGCGCGGCCTCGGGCGGGGGATTTTGGCGGAAGAGGGGGGCCAGAAGACGAAAATGTGCGGTCCACGGCACGGCAGATGGAGATATGATGGGCCCCACCGGTAACACCCGCTCCCGAGCACGGTCGGGAGGGACCACCCTTTTCAACAGTCAAGAGTTGGATGATCCAACATCCATGCGAATCCTCGCCGCGCTGGCGGCGCGGCCCACGGGACTCCGAGTACACGTACTCACATCCCAAGCAAAAGAATCGCCCCCATGTTCAGCGGGGGCCAACCTTGTGCTCGACAGGCGTTCCGTGCTTTTCGTTTGTCGGCCAGCGCGCGGTCATTCCACTCTGGCGGGAATGGCCGCGCTGACCGACAAACGAAAAGCACGGAACGTGTTGCGAGAACGGGACACCTAGTCGACCATGTCGCCGCGAGCTGCACCCTGGCCGCAGGCGTCGAACCAGGCGTCCATGTCGGAGTTGGCCTTGAACGACTTCGGGAGCTGCGTCGTCTTGGCCGCGACCCACGCGGCGGCCGCGGCTGCGAGAGCGCCCGCAGGCGACTTCTCGCGGACGCGGTCCTCCAAGAAGTAGCTGATGCCGTAGCTGGCCAGGTGCTTCACCTCGGCGCCGCGCTTGGACTCCTTGAGGTTGGGCTTCTTGCTCTTCCAGTCGATGCTGGCCGCGATGGGGATCAAGAACGGCACGTAACCCATCGGCACGTACACAGCGCTGCCCGCCTCGAGCAAGCACGACCGATGCTTGTAGAGCGCCCCAGACTCGGCGTTCTCCAGCAGCCCGTTGAAATCAAGATTTTTTGAGACCCACTCAGGATCTACGACCACCACCATCGAGAGACCACTGAACTGCTGGACGAAGATCGGGCACTGAGACCATGGCAGCGTGGTCTTTTCAGTCTTCCACTCCCCAGTGCTGCGCCCATATACGGCCATGCGGAGCCCGCCCAGTGGTTCAGTCGAAACATCGCCATCTTCGCCGTCGAGCTTGAAGCAGAAACTCGGCGTGTAGTCCAGGGTCCCCCAAGCCGATCCCAAGTCATTCTTCCGCATGTAGTCTCTCACCTCTGTCATTTTGGCCGCCATGGGCTTGTCCTGCTCCTCGTACATGTTCGCGAACGTCTGCTGGAAGATGTCCCTGGAGGCCTTATCCACGTCCTGCGGCTTCCTGATGATGAACGGCTCCAGGAATGTGTTCACGCTGATGTTGTCCGCAGGGTGGTCTGCAACCACATTGTACTCAATCTTCAATCCGTACTCGTTCGATGGCATGCCCAAGTCGTTCAAGGTGTTCGCCGATATCATCGCCACGGCGTCTGGCAGCCTCTTGCCAATCAGGTACGACCTGATCTTGTCCCTCACGAACCTCCACTCGCGCGAGAGCCCGCTCTTCTCCAGGCGCTTCTTGGCCACGATAGCCTCGGGCAGGTTTACAACTTGGGGCGGGGGGACACGGTGCAGGGCGAAGGCAGGGGGGGCCCTGCGGGGGGGCGGCGGGCGGCGGCGACGGGGGCATGACCGCGCGGTCCACCCGCGCCTCTGCCCCCTCCCCTCGTCTGCATCCTTCCTCGAGGAACTGCCGACTCCCACGCCGCCCCTCGCCGCCGCCCCCCCTTGGAGCGCCTCCACTGCCCGCCGCCCCCGTCTCCCTTGTCGACCCCCGCCCTCCCTCCGCCCCCTCCGAGCGCGCCTGCAAGCCAGTCTCGTGGCGGCGGAAGCGCCTCACCTCCTCCCTCCACTCCTGCACGCGCCGACTGATCGCACTCCTCTCCTGGCCGAAGTCGAGGCCCTCGTCCCACTTCTGCGTGTGCTCACGCAGCTTGTCCAGATTCTCCTTGGCCTTCTTGAGCCTGGACAAGCAGTCGGGCAAGTTCAGACGAGCGACGCGCTCCTGGGCGGAGAGGGAGGGGCACGTCGCCGTCGACCGAGCCCGCCCAATGGGGGTCCAAGAGGAGCCCAAGAGACCCAAGAGGGCCCCAAGGGGACCTGAAACCAAGCGCGCGCAAGCGGGATGTTGCACACGCTTGGTCTTGGGCCCCCTTCGGGCCTTCCGAGAGGGATCGAATAGGGCTCTCGGGGCCCTCGCGGAGCTCTCTTCAGGCCCGTTTGGGGCTCTCTCGGAACCTCTTAGTGGCCCAAGGCGGCCCCAGGAAAGCCACATCCCCCAACGTCCCCCTCATAAGCCACCAACCCCTCTCCAACCATTACCATCCTACGCCTGGCCAACACTCCCGCGCAGGGCTCCTCCTTGCCAATCTCCGCGATCTGGGTCTCCAGCCACTCGATGATGCACACCCCGTCCGCCTGGGGGTGCGACGAGCGGCCCGCGCCACCGAGCGCCCCCAGTGCCCAACAATCCTTCCCATTTCTCTGCGTCGGTCGGGCATCGCCCACGCAGTCACCCCCTCCCCGCCGTGGCCAAACCTCGCCCCCCTGGTCTGTCTCATCGTCCCGCATCCTCCTTCGCTGCCTCAATCCAGCTGCCGCGCCCCCTCCCCCCACCTCTGCCCCTGCTCGTCCTCGTTGCCATCCGCCTCATTCCTCCTCAGGCTCGCCGTCGCGTTCGAGGCCGCGCGATCCGCCGGCGGCCCGATGGGGGGGGGGGGGCACGCTGGGCGAGGGGCGGGGGTGCCGAAGGGGTTGGAGGAGGACGCGAAGGTTTGGGGCGTCGGGGAAACGGTGCATGAGGGGAGGGGCCGAGGATGGAAGGGGCTGCAAACAAAAGTAGCGCGCGTCGCGCTGGGGCAACTTCCAGTGGGCTGGGTCGGAGGCTGCAGCGATGCAGCAGTGATCGCGAACGCAGCCTCCACAGGAGGCTGCGTTCGCGATGCACTGCGCCTCGATGCCTCTTAGAACGCCTCGAACCCATCCGAGGCCTTTTGGGAACCGTCGAACCCATCCGAGGCTGCGTTCCGCTGAAACCTCCCCGAACCCATCCGAGGCTTCTTGGGGCCTCGGATGGGTGCGGGACGGTTTCAACGGAACACGGCCTTATCATCGCCCTTCATCCCACCCCCCCGCATTTGGTTGGCGGCGGGGCCTGCTCCGACAGCACGACCTCCTCCAAGTACTCCGCGATCCAGGCCTGGGCGTTCCACATGTCCACGGCCCCCCCGAAGTGGCTCGGCAGCTCGGCGAACCTGGCCTCCCAGATCTCGATCTTCTGCGCGTGGGCGACCTCCATGGCGTGGGCCGCCCCAGACGTCTGGGTCGACCGCGCGCGGCTGCTGCGAGCCGAGCGGCGGCCGCTGAAGGCCGAGACGGCGTCGGCCACGCGGTCGTCCTCCGAGAGGCTCGCAGCAGCCGCGTCCCCCTCCTGCTCCTCCTCCTCCTCCTCCGACTGCTGCGAGCTCACGTTCTGCGAGCAGCCAGCGCGCGGAGGAGTCGGGGCCTCGAGCCGCGGGGCCGACGGGCCCAGGCCGGAGCGGCGAGACGCCGCGCGAGACGGCGGCGGCGGCGAGGCGCGCTCGCGGCCGCTGCTGCGACGCCGATGCGACCCGCCGCCACGGCGGCGCCTCGAGCGCGACCTGCCGCGGCGCTCCTCGGCCGAGCCCAGCTCCAAGCCAGCCCGCTCGAACCTCGAGCAGCGCTGGAGCGGCTGTGCGAAGACCGCCTGGGCCTCGGCGGCGTCGACGGGCCGAGCCCTTCCCGAGCCTGTCACGGACAGCTTCAGCGCCTCCTTGTGCTTCTTGCTGCGCATGCCGCTGAGGACGAGGCAACTCTCGCCCTGGCAGACGACCTCCTTCAGCCTGTTGCCGAACTCATCAACCTGCAGGGAAGGGGAAGGGGAAGGGAATGCGAGGCAGGGCGAGGCGCCCCCAGGCTACCCTTTCCCCCCATGTGGCCCATCAGTCTCATCTTGGGGCTCTCTCGGGGCCTTCTTGGGTCTGCGTCGGGCCCTTCCCATAATTGCTGGTGGTCTCCTCCTCCCTCTCCTCCTCCTCCTCCTCCTCCTCCTCCTCATCCTCCTCGTTCCCCCTCCTCCTCCACCGATGATCGCCAAGATGTCCCATCGTCAACTGCAACGCGGCTGCCGTGGCAAAACATGGCCCCTAAGGGGCCATGTTTTGCCACGGCAGCCGTCTTAAAGGCCTCACGCCCGAGGGCTGTGCGGGACTCTCATGGGGCTGCGTGGTGATCCCCCCCTCTTCCCACCCCCTCCTCCCTCCTCCTCCTCCTCCTCCTCCTCCTTCTCCTCCTCCCCCCCTTTCCCTTCGGGAAAAAATAACATGGGGCTAGCGCCGCGATCTCGACGACAATCGGGGCGCTAGCCCCAAGGTTTGTTTCGAGCCCTGCCAGTTGCCCGTTGCCGCGCCGCGGGGGGGCAGGGTCCACCTCCCCCCCCCCCCTCTCCCCCCATTCCTCCCCCCCCTCCCTCCTCCTCCTCCTCCTCCTTCTCCTCCTCATCATCATCATCATCATACTTTTCCTCCTCCTCCTCCTCTCACTCCTCCTCCTCCTCCTTCCTCCTCCCTCCTCTCTCCGTTTCTTCCATCCTCCCTCCTATATGGGGGCCCTCTCGAGGCCGCCCCAAACCTGCTTCGCGCGGTCGAAAGCGGCCCCAGGATGGATGGATGGATGGACGGATTGACCGCCGATTCGGAAGTGACGACGCGATGCCGCACTCTGGGCACGGAGAAGGGGCGGGCAGCGAGAGCAAGAGGAGGAGGAGGAGGAGGAGGGGGAGGAGGAGGAAGGGACCCCCTAAGCCCCACCCCTACCCAGGGCGACCCCGAGATGCGACCGCGGGGGCCCTATGGGCCCTGTGCCTATTGGGGCCGACTTGGGGTCCTCCTGGAGATCCCATCGGGGCCCCCTTGGTCATTATTTGGGCCCTCCGGGCACCTTCCTATGTGGAACCTGTCTGGGGCTATCCTGAAACCCTCTCGGGGACCCCATTGGGCCCTCTTGGTGCCCTTGCGGCCCCGCTCGAGCACCCTAGAGCCCCTTGCAACCCTCTCGGGGCCAATCGGTTTCTGATTACCACGCGCCCGCCAGAGCCTTGTGCTCCCAGCAGTCCTCGGCATCGTCGCGGCTCACACCAGCGCTGCAGAGGGTCCTGATGAACCAGTCGTGGTTCAGCTCGAGGTCCTTGCCCTCCGCGCTGTACTCGATCTCCCTGACGAGCGTGCGGACGCACGACTCGAACTCACGGAAGTTGCCTGTCATGGTGTACTCCATCTTGAGCTTCTGGGCCTTCTCTGGATCCTCGTGCATGAGGTTGTCCCACAGGCCGTTCACCTGGGCTGAAGCAGGGGGGCAGCCCCCTTTTTCCGCCCACCCCCCAGGGCCCAACCAGCTTATGCAACAAGCTAGCCAATTGTATAAGCTACTCGACTGCCTTCTCGGGGCCATCTGAAGCTCTTCCTAAGGCCCCAAGATGGCTCCAAGAGGGCCCCGATGGGGGCTCAGGGAAGGCCCCGAGAGGGCCCCAGGAGGGCGTCCCCGATGTCAAGGATGAAGGCCGCCAACTTGACAGCAGCGAGGATTTCTTTGTGCCCCTCTCGAGGCTCTTCAGGCCCCAAGAGGGCCTGACATCGCCCGAAGAAGCTTCTAAGATGGCCCCAAGAGAGCCCCAAGAGGGCCCCGAGAGAGCTCCACAAGGACCTGAAACAAAACGTATGCAAGCGGGGCGTTGCACACGCTTGGTGTCGGGCCTTCCTGGAGCCCCCTTGGGGCCCTTGTGGGGCTCTCTTGGAACACCCTTGGGACCCTCTGGGAGCCGTCTTGGACCCCTAGGGTGGGCCCCAAGAGGGCCTCCCCGATGTCGAGGGCGAGGGCCGCCACCTCGACAGCAGCGTGGATTTCTCGGCGCTCATCTCGGCCCCCCCCCCTCAGGCCACGAGAGGGCCCCGACATTGATGCAAAGGGCTTCAAATAAGGCCCAAGGAGCCCCAGGAGATCACCGAGAGAAATCCGAGGGGACCTGAAACCAAGCGTGCGCAAGCTCGGCGTTGC